CTAGAGTAATATTTGCTTCTAGGAATGATTTAGGAAGGATTGCTTCCCTTTCAATTTCACTGAAGAGTTTGAGGAGTGTTGGCATTAGGTCTTCTTTGTATTTCTTGAAGAATTCTGCAGTGAATCCGTCTGGGCCTGGGCTCTTCTTTGCAGGTAAAGATTTAATTATGTTTTCAATTTCATTAATAGAAATTGAGTTATTCAGCAGTTTTACATCTTTATGACCTAGCTTTGGTACTTCGTATGCTTCTAGGAATCTATTTCCTCTGTGTTATCAAACCTTTGAGAGTAGAGGTTTTTGAAATAGGTGTTGAAGATCTTCTATATTTCTATAGGGTCTGTAGTAATTTCGCCTCTTTCATTCTTTATTCCATGAAATTGAGCTTTTTCTTCCCTTTTTAAAAATAAGGTTGGCTAGGGGCTTGTCGATTTTATTTATTCTTTCAAAGAACCAACTCTTTGATTCATTGATTTTTTGGATTTTTTTTAGTCTCTAATGCATTGATTTCTGCTCTGATTTTTGTAATTTCTTCTCTTCTTTTGGCTTTGGGCTTGACTTGCTCTTCTTTTTCTAGATGTTTGAGATGTAACATCAGGTTATTTATTTGTATTCATTCCGTTTTCCTGATGTGGGAACTCAGTGCAATAAATTTTCCTATGAGGACAGCTTTCATTGCATCCCACAGATTCCAGTAAGTTGTATTTGTGTTTTCATTTGTTTGTAGGTATTGTTTAATTTCTTCTTTAATTTCCTCTGTGACCCACTGATTACTCAAGAGTGTGTTATTCAGTTTCCATGTGTTTGTGGGATTTTTGTAGTATCTTTTATCATTAATTTCTAATTTCATAGCACAATGGTCTGATAGCATGCAAGGAATAATTTCAACCCTTTTGCATTTATTTAAATATATTCTGTAAATTAATATATGGTCTATTTTAGAGAATGACCCATGTACTGCTGAGAATTATGTGTATTCTGTTGTTGTTGGGTGGAATACTCTGTATGTGTCTATCAAGTCCATTTGTTCACAGGAGTAATTTAGTTCTTTTATTTCTTTGATGATTTTCTGTCTGGTTGATCTGTCCATTGGTGTCAATGGTGTGTTAAGATCTCGTGCTACAATTATGTTACTGATAATTTGGTTTTTCATTTCTGTTAGTACTTGTTTTATGTAACTGGGTGCTCTGGAGTTTGGTGCATATATATTTAAGATAGTTATCTCTTCCTCTTGTAGTTTTCCCCTAACCAGTATGCAGTGCCCTTCTTTATCCCTTCTGATCATTATTGGCTTGAAGTTCACATTGTCTGCAAACAGAATAGCTACCCCCACTTTTTTTTGATTCCTGTTGCATTAAGTATTGTTTTCCATCCTTTGACTTTTAGTCTGTGAGTATCCTTTTGGGTTAGATGGGTTTCTTGTAGACAGCATATGGTTGGATTTTGTTTCTTGATCCATTCTGCCAGTCTGTTTCTCTTAATTGGTGCATTGAGACCATTTACATTAATGGTTATAACTGTTATATATTGGTTTATTGTTGACATGTTATCTTTCTGCTATTGCATCTTTATCTTTCTATTCTGTTTAATTGTCTGCTTTGTTTAGTAGTTTTTTCCTAAATGTATCTAGGCTGTCTTTCAGTATTCTTTGCAAGGTTGGCTTGGTGATCACGAAGTTTTTCAGCTATTCTTTGTCATGGAAGTATCTTATTTCTCCATCGATTTTGAAGGACAGTTTTTCAGGGTACATCAGTCTATTTTGGAAATCATTTTCCTTTCGGATCTGAAATGCTTCACTCTCTTTTTGACTATATTGTTTGTGCTGAGAAGTCTGCTGTGATTCTGATAGGTTTTCCTTTATAGGTGATCTGTCTTTTCTCTCTGACAGATTTTAATATTCTATTCTTTTGTTTGATTTCTGGGATGGTGATTATTATATGTCTGGGTGTAGTTTTATCTTGGTTATGGCTATTTGGGGTTCTGTATGCTTCATTGATCTTGATAGCAGTTTCCCATCTCGTGTTTGGGAAATTTTCAGCTATTACTCCTCTAAATATCCTTTATGTTGTCCCCTTCTTTTTCATTTATCCCTATCAACCTTATGTTGTTCCTCTTTGCGTCATCTTACAGGTGTTGAATTGTTATTTCCTGATTTCTTGTTATTTTTAAAAGATCTTTCCTTTCCTGTTCACTGGCTACAATCTTGTCTTCAAGGTCTGAAATTCTATCTTCACATTCATTGAGGCGGTTTTTACAACTTTCAATGGAGTTTTTTATTTCCTGTATATCTCTTTGCATCTGCTTTATATATTCTGTTTGTTTCTTATATTATTCATCCAGGGGTTCTATCTTTTTGTTTAGTTCCTCCAATTTTTTAACTGTGTCTTCTTTAGATATGTTCAGCATCTCCTTCATTTCTTTTATCATTTCTTTTTTTACCTGAGAGATTATTTTTAGTTTGAATTCCTTTAAGGCTTCCCAAAGTTGTTTTTTTATTTCAGTTACTATTATTTCAGGTATGTGGCATGTATTTTCTTCTATGCACATGGCTCCTATGCTTTCCTGGGATGGCCTGGATGTTTGAGATTGCATTTTGGTCTTTCATTTTGTCATCTTCCTATATTTTCAAGCTTCAAGTGTTGTTCCAAGTGAGGGAGAGAGGTCCACCAGGCTGGGCCGGGGTTCTATGGCTCCGCCAGACTCACTGTTCCCAGCAGGAAACCGCAGCCTGGCCCCGAGGCGAGGAAGAGAGTTCCACCAGGCTGGGACGGGATTCCACGCCTTGGCCCAACTCCTTCAATTCTTTTTTAAAAATCCCTTTTCTCTTCCTTTTTTCTCCATTCCCCTTTCCCTTTTTACCTTTTCCATTGGAACATGTTCTTCCTACTTCCCAATATCTATCCTCAGTTTTTCTTAAAAAAGAGAAACAATGCAATATTTAAACTTGTGTGTCTGGTGTGTGTGTGTGTGTGTGTGTGTGTGTGTGTGTGTGTGCATGTGCTGGGGATTGAACTCACAACCTCACATTGCCAAGCAAGCACTTACACCACTGAGCTAAATCTTCAGCCCCAGTGTGTATGACTAATTTCACTTAAGATTGTTGTCTCAAGACACATTTGCTTACCTAAAAACATGTCAAGTTTATCCTTTATGGCAGAGTAGTACCCTGTTTTATATAAATAACACATTCTCTTTACCCATTCATCTGCTGGTGAGTGTGTGAGCTGTTTCCAAGATTGAGCTATTATAAATTGTGCTGCTGTAAACCTAGCTATGTATGTATCATTGTGGTATGATGACTTCAACTCTTTGAGGGAGATACCTAGAAGAAAATAGCTGGGTCAAATGCAACCTAGTTTTAGTTTTTTGAGGGATCTTCATATTGATTTCCGTAGTGGTTATACCAGTTTACACTCCCACTGACAATAGAGAATGGTTCCTTTTCCCACTGCCATGCCAGCACTTCTTATTGGTTAATTTCTTGATGATATCCATTCTTTCTGAAGTGACATGGAACCCAAGCACTGTTTTAAGTAGCATTTCTCTAATGATCAGACACGTTTAACGTTTTTATGTAATTACTTGCTGTTTGTGCTTCATCTGAGAAGTGTCTACTCATTTCACATGCCCATTTTTGGACTGGATCATTAAATATGAGAGGCCTAATTTTTTTTTAGTTTTTAGGATTAATCCTTTGAGGACTAGCTGGCAAAATATTTTCCCATTCTGTGGGTTATCTCTTCACTCTGTTGACAGTTTCCTTTGCTGAGGAGAAGCTTTGATGTAATCCCAGGTATTGAGCCTTTGTGATATTCCCTGTGCAACTGATTTTGTTCATAAAATCTTTGCCTATGTCTTCAAGAGTTATCTATTTGTCCTCCAATGGATTCTTTCTGTGTTAATATTTAGATCTTTCATTTCTATTTTAGTTTATTGTATGATGAGAGCTATGGGTATAGGTTCAATCATTAGCATGTGGAAAGCCATTTTTTCCAGAACTATTTCTTAAAGATACTATCTTTCTTTCAATGAAGGTGTTTAGCCCCTTTGTCAAAGAATAAAGGGGTAGCATCCCTGTATCATAGAGATGGGGAAAAAGAAATAAAAAGAGATATGTCTATGCCTCACTACAGAAAGAAGGAGGAAATACATTTCCACTAAAATTTCACTAAAGCAAATATAGATGCCCTGTCCAGATCCCCAGTTATGCCTTTTGCCAGCTGCTATCAGTGCTGCTGCAGGTAACAACACTTCACATTGTAATTTTCTTTGAAGGTGTGCCCTTAAGGAATTGGAGCCTCTTACCAAGGTACCTTGGAGTTACAGTGAACACTCTCCTACCCCAAGACTGGTAGCACAGATCAAAGCAGCTTACAGCAATCATTAACTAACGTCAGGATGTGAAAGACCCCTCCCTTCCTTCAGGACAGGACAGTAGACCTCCCAGATCTACCTCACCTGAAATTACAATCCTACTTAGCTTCTCCCGTTTCCCTATTCTGCTTCCCTCAGTCCCTCTCAGGTTTCTCCAGAGAACAGGTACTCCTTCTGTTCATAAAGGATACATAAAGCATCCTTGTTAGGCTCTGCTTCTGGGGAACCCAACCTAACACTCCTTACTCTTTCTGGTATTCAACTAACCAATACTGATTGGGCTATAAGTGAAGGAAAAAACCCAACAGTTCCATATAAGTACCTCTATACTAAAGCCAATAGAGCAGAACATGGAAATGCAGACTAACTTGGGAACTGCTACTTTAGATTGGGTGGTAGGGAAGGCTTCCCTGCTGAAAGGAGGTTTGAGCAAAGAAAGAGCCAGCTAAGCTGAGCTGAGAGCCCTGCAACATCCAGGGGTACAGCATGGTAAGCAGGTGAAACAGCAACAAGGGCTTAGTGGTGGGAGTTGGGTGGATGCAAGAGAGAGTAATTCTGTATTTTGGTATGGAACTCTGTAAACAGGATGGTGGTTAATATCCCTGTGTCTATTTGGATTTGGTTTCAGAGATTTCCTTTTTAAATGTATAGACAGTTCTGAAGTTGTTTTGGCCTCTGTCTATGGGGAGACCCACATAGTAATTCCGCTTCGTGAGAGAACAGGAGAGGCTCTGGGACTCCTTGATGTTAACATTGGCCACACCAAAATGTTGTTATACCAAGAATATAAAGATCTACAGAAAATGACAAAGATGATCCATGCTGCCTGCTCTGAAATACTGGGAGAATTCTCCGGAGAAATAAAGAAAAACATTGTTTTAGGTACAGTTAATGTGGTAACAGTCTGGATTTATGGGTCTAATAGATTTGGGATAAATCACAGGCAATGTGAGGAAGGATTCCTTTTTCTAACATGAATTATTTCAATATATAGATCTTTCCATGTGAAAAGAATTCCTCTATGAAGTACTAGCCTTATGAGTATGGTCTGTAAAGCAAAGGACATGGAATCATATTATCTTGGTTAAATCCATACAGTCTTAGAATTGAAAGGACTCATAAAGGCAAAATAGAAATAGCCTTATTAAATGCCCCAATGCTGGGGATTTAGTTCAACAGCATAAGTGCCTGCCTGGCAAAGCACAAGGAGGTCGTAAATTCAATCCCTGGTATCAAAAAAAAAAAAAAAAGCCCCATTATGATTTAAGCACTTTAGGTATGTTCTTTCATTTAACCTTTATAATCTTATGAGCTAACTGGAAATACCCCATTTTGTAGATAAGGAAAGTGATGTTCAGAGAATGCAAACAAAAAAAAATGGTATAGGCTGGATTTGAACCTAGGTTGGGGGGACACTTTTCATTACACAGCATTAATCAATCAGAACATCTCATCTTTCAGAATAGGAGTTAAAACCCAAAAGTCAAATGGAGGGGCTGGGGATTTAGCTCAGCGGCATAAGCACCTGCCTTGCAAGCATGCGGTCGTGAGTTCGATCTCCAGTACCGATAAAAAGGAAAAAGACAAAAAAAAAAAAAGTCAAGTGGATTTTCCAAGCTAGTTACAATAACAAGCTAGTGACAGAGCCAAGATTAGATCCTAGTTTTTGTGATTACTAGGCTACTCTTAGCACAGTAGCAGTTTGGAGAGAAGGGTAAGAAAAAAAGAAGGCATAGAAACTCTTGGCTAGAATGAAGTAGATAAAATTAAAGTAACACTATTTGAGACTACTAACCATTACATAGACTAGGATAAGAAAGAAGAAAACTAGGCATGGGGACTGTCACCTTTGCCCCATTTATGCAAAGCGCTAAAGCAGGAGGATCACTTGAATCCAAGGATCTGATACCAACCTGGGCAACATAATAAGTCTTCTGTCTCAGAAGAAGGAGAAGGAGGTGGTAAAGGAAGAGAAGGGAAAGAAAAGGAAGGGGAGGACAAAGAGGAGGGGGGGAGGAAGAGAAAGAGAAAACTCCTGAGTTTTATTATATGTAAAGCCTAAGACAATATGTTTTTATGTATATTATGTTTTATGTATATCATCTAATTCCCACAGCTCACCAGTGAGGTAAAAAGAGAAAGATATTTTGAAAAATAGAACTAATAAGAGAAAGAGCATGTATTTAAGTTAAGGTCTAACCCTGAAACCCGAGTTCTTAAAGCTTCCTTCCTATGAACTGTACTAGGGTAATTCCATTTCTCCCTTTTGATTTTATTGCCAAAGAAATTTAAGATTGTTTAAATTCATAGGACCTGAACTTCCTTTTTCCTGAAGGAAAATGTTTACTAGACTATGCTTAGAATCCTATATGCTCAGAATGTGTCTGACTGAATGTCAATGTAAGATGTTACTCTGTTATTCCAGAAATTGAAAAAACAGGGGAAGTCCAAAGAGCAGGAATTCTCTTTTTCCGAGTCATGCTGCAGGAGCTGCAGCAATGCTTCCAACTACTCAGTCCCATGGACTTCGTGTCAGTCTTGATTTACGAACATAAACCTCAAGCAGAGCCAAAGTCTCCTCAAGACGGCAAGCCCCAGGAGTTTGAACTCAACATAAATCTAATACGTGACATTCTGAAAGGAGTTATTTTAGTCTTTCATCCAGAGTTGGAATTTTCAGATGACTTTGGAAGCTGGGATCAGTGTAAACTTGTACGTTTTTAAATTGCTTTTTTGTTGTTGCTGTTGTTGAATAACAACTTATATAAATATACATGTATGAAATATAATGACACAGTTCACAAATATACAAAAGAAAGAATCTTCACATAATGACACATTTATATAACCTGCACCTAGGTTAAAAAAAAGCAGGGCATTAGTGGCATCCCCAAAGCCTTCCTTTGTGCCCTTCCCCATTAGCTCCCCCAACCCAACTCACACACCCCATTCACAGCCACGATCTCGACATCTAACATTATAGGTTGGTTTGACCTGTTTGAAAATATATATAAATACAGTCATGTGAACTGCGCACTGTGTCTCTACTTATTAGTGACCTTATTATTTATGAGTGACTTCTACTTTTGTTCTCTGTTCACAGTATGTTAACAAGTATTTAGTGGACCGTATTTGTTCCTTTGACCCAACTGCTAGCCATATGAAAGTTAATTTACGGGTTATTGATGAAAATATCAGAGGTAAGTTCCTACTTACTCAGTTTAAATCGATACTAACAGAAATAAAAAGCAATTGTAACTAAGAAAAATTTTTATTAGAATAAAGCAAGGAGCTCATAGATTTTTAGGAGAAGATGTTATAATTGTTAAGTTTTTTTAAAAATAGGAACACAGAGCTGGGGATTTAGCTCAGTGCCATAAGTGCCTGCCTGGCAAGCATGAGGTTGTGAGTTCAATCCCTGGTACCAAAAAAAAAAAAAAAAAGAGAGAGACAAAAATAAAATAGGACCACAATCTACTGTGTTCAACAAAGTTACTATCTATGCTATACATATGAGAATTCAAAAGTGCATTTAATATCTCCCACCTACTGACTACATATGCATTATTCATTTAAAAAAAAAACAAAAACAAAAAGCAAAGCCAGGCATCATGGTGTGTGTCTACAGCCTCAGCTGCTCGGGAGACAGAGGCCAAAAGATAAACTTGAGTCCAAGAGTTTGAAACTTGTCTGGGTGACACAATGAGACACTCATCTCAACAAAGAAGAGAGAGAAGAAAAGAGAAGAGATTAAAAAAAAGAGAAGGAAAGAGATAAGAAAAGGGAAGAGAAGAGAAGAGAAAAAAAAAGCAAATACAGGCTTCAGTGCGAATAGGGACATGAGCAACCAAGCTGTTATTATTTTCAGCTTCATTAAAGAACCAAAGAAAATAATAGCTCATTCCTCTATACAGACTAGTAATACAAACTTTTGGGAAGAGGAGAATCAGCAGGACAACAGAGAGTAAGGCTCTGAGGTTTGAGAAGGTGACGCTTCTTTGGTCACAGAGAGTAGGTCACATCCAAAAGTAAATATACAAACCCAAGCTTATGTTCCTCCGCTCATTTGTATTCCTCCATAGACAACTCGAGCCATACACGTGCGTGAGCTATCAAGAAATGCATTTCAATTTTGATTCTGCTTTCTTATAAAAAGCTCATCCTTCCTTAGGAAAATTAGTAATCACTCCCTAGCCCTAGCCTTCTCCATCCTCTCCCCTTCTTCTACTCTGTGCAGATTCCAGACCCAGTCAGATGGTTTCTGCATTTCTCAAATACATATACAGAGAGCCTCAGAGTCAGAGAAACCCCTAGGAAGGAAAAGGTGCCCCCAGAGAAGTGGACTCATGTAACATAGGGTGGTGCAATGGTGATCCAGGTGGATGGATGTGAAAGAGATCATCTGGCTAGGAAGGTGAAATGATTCACAAATTATAGGAATGTTAGAGAACAGGAGAGAATATGAGATTCACATAAAATTTAACACAATTGAATGTAGACCATAATTGATCTGAATCAAGTTCAGAATTCCTATTTGAAATGGGGCTTCCATTATAGTCTTGTGGCTCTAAGCTCATTCACGGAAGCCTCTGGATTCATAGGTGTTACAGGTATAGCTTCTAACGAGCTAGTAGAAATGGTCCAACCACAAAAATGAATATTTGTTCACTGTGTACTTTGGTGGTGAGGGGAGAGGGAGCTTGGAATGAAATCTTCACACAGAGCTACATCCTCATATCTTTATTCATTTTTTAACAATTTTGAGACAGGTACTCACTAGGTTACTAAGTTATCCAGGCTGGGCTCAAACTTGAAATCCTCCTGCTCCAGCCTCCCAGAGAACTGACATTACAGGAATGCACCACCATGCCCACCTTCACTGTATGCTTTTATAGACTCAGCCTATACTTGTCCACCATTCATGGAGGAATTAAAGCTCAGAAGAAATGTTTCTGACAGCTGTGCCCTTGGCCTGCCTAACTCCCAGACTCAGCCTCACCTGGTTATTACTCTTCTTTTTGAAGTAGATTTAGTGTCTGCCATGAAGCCCAGCTTCACCATCCCCAGAGTGTGACCAGTTTATCAATTAATATTTTCTCAAATCCCTACTCCACTTTGGTCTTGCCAGCCCCTAATTGGGAGCCTGTGTCCAGGGTCCCTTATGTGCTCTCTGAGTTACAGTTCCCTTCCTGGGTAAGGACTCAGCCATCCACCAATGTCTAATTCAGTCCCTCTGTCAGACACGCACAGGGGATTAAGGGGCAGGCCTCTCTATTTCCACCTTGCAAGTTGCTCAGGAATTGGCTCTCAGCAGATGAGAGGCTCATCTTTAGCCACGGGAGCCATTTGTGGCGTTGCACCAATGCCTCAAGGGAATCTCTCCAGGATCTGTCTTCACTTTGCCTATGTGAACTACCTATTCTGTTGTCATGTACTGCTCCTTTGTCTGAACACACACTCAAATTTCTATTTCTCTGCTTGCCTCTGTTTTGAACTATGCCAGCTGATTCTTGAGCAGTCTGAACGCGCCACGATCCCGACCACTTTCCGCTTTCCAGTAGTGCCCTCACATGGCAGGAATTATAACTGCAGTTAGCGGAGCTGGAGTGCCCTGTTAACACCACCGCCACCAAATCTTTAGCATTATCACAGTCTGTAGCAATCAAGAAAGTTCATAGGCCACCCAAATACAAATCTTCTCTTCTTCCAATACAGTTATATCAGAAAATTCTAAGCTCCCTGGATGGAGGAAAGGAGAGAAACTCTTTGGGGGCAATGTTCCATTTGTGCCAGGAGAGAAGTCGCCTAGCAGGGAAATCCATTATTGCTCAAAGTTTACATGGCCTTCTAGCACTTTAACTAAGGCTCCTAATCAATGGCCATTCCTAGCATGAAATTACATGAGCAATATCAGTAGGTTTTGCCTGAATGGTGACACACTGTTGTATTACATAGCAGAGTTCTTAACCCACCATATCTTCTGAATTAATGATTTTTACCAAGAAGATAGAATTAAGACTGGTGATACATCCATACTGTCTCATGGTTTCTGTTCCCAACTCTGGTCCATTTTACCATAGTTTGAAAAAGGGGTATTTTGTATTCTGGTGGAACTCTAAGGAGCTTGGCCTGCCTTAAATGAAGGTAGTCACCTATAATACTGCACTGAGCAGCTCCATTCAGCAGGCCTGGCTTCCTAAGGCTGCTTATTGTATATAAATGCTGTGACCACTTGCAGTAGCGGCATGGTTAGCTGTGTATTCAGTAGTTCATCAATAGCTCTTATCATGTGTCTCTGTGCTTCAGGTACTCCTAGTAGTTGTTGTCTTTTACAGGAAAAGCAAGACCTGCCCACCTTCTTGAGGCTCTTTCTCCCTACTCCTCTTTGGATCTCTGTTGCCAGCCTTACCTGGTCCTTTTGTAGGTGCCCCATACCTCTCCCAAGAAGAGCTAATTTCCATTGTATGACAAGAATCTCTGATGCCTTAGAACCTGTGTTTCTGTAAAGTGACCACACCTCCTTCCCAAGCCTAGACTCAAGCTTGTCCACAGGCTCTAAGGAGTCTTCCAGGCTCACTTCTTCTACAGGAGTCCATGCGGATCCCTTACATTCTCAGTTCCAAGTTATTCAGAGAGAAAAAGAAAATCAAAGCAGCAATTATCTTTGTGTTCCTTACCACCCCTTTTGATTTTAAATTTTGAAGTTTTCAAATGGTTTCAACTTTTCCAGATAATAACACCACTATTTTGAGTTCTGATTAAAGACTTTTAAAATCAGTTAAGTGAAAAAATTTCTCTATTTAATTTGAAATTCATGTTTTAATTTTAGTGAATGTTGAAACAATTTCCCATCTCAAAAAGTTTTTAAATTATGTATTTTTGCTAACGTACTTTAAAGGCTCAAATAAAACAAAAAATATAGGACAACTTACTTGGGACCCCCTCTGCTGCTCTGTCAGACAGAAGCTTTCTTTCTCTCAGTAAATATATCCTGCTCTTAACTTTCGTTGTTCCTAAAATTCATTAAGGTTGAGAGTTTCATTCCAATGTACCATTTGGAGGTCTTCCTCTGAGATCATTGGACAAAGGTAAAAGTTTGCTTTGTTTCATAGACTCTGGACTGAGACACGTTTAGCTAACAAATTTTTACTCTATAAAAGTTCCTAGAAAAGACAAGAGTCCTTGGAAACCCACTCACGATCCCTTCTGTCTTTCTCAGACATAGGGTTTTTTTCTCTCAATAAATATATTCTGCTCTTTAAAAACAAATATATGTATATAATTTTTTTTTGAGACAAAGTCTCACTGGGTCATTCAGACTGGTCTGATGTAGCCAAGGCTGGCCTTGAACTTGCTCAGCCTTCTGAGTGCTGAATTACAAGCACAAATCACCACACCTGGCAACTAAAAATAATTTAAAAGTCACTAACCCATCTCTTATTTTCACCAGATACCCTCACCAGAGGCAAATCTTTTACTGTTTCTTATGGCATTTGCGCATCTGTTTCTAGTATTAGGTGCGTATTGCTGTCTTTTGAGTCTCCAGTTCTGAACTTCATTAATTGATTTTCTATTGTTCTAGACAAGCATTTGTTTCTTCTGCATTCCTTAATGTCTTACCTCAGCCTCCCAACGTGGCTATATTATAACTTGTGTTATTAAACTTGTGTAATTAAAATGTGCTTGTGCGATTTTGGCTATCCAAATATTATCTGTAGCTGAGCACTGTGGTATATGGTAATTGTAACTTTTACCTTTTTGTTAAAGTAAATATTGCCTCACTTTGAAAGCTCTCAGGGCTAGGGATATAGCTCAGGGGCACAGCACCTGCCTGGCAAGCATGAGATTGTAAGTTTAACACCCAGTACTTAAATAAATAAATAAATGTCTCAAATTTCTTTGTACTTCCTGATAATTCCCACCTCCTTGTTTTTTCTCCCCATATAATTTTTCATAGGGCCAATTTTATGAGTTTTGGTTGGTTGATTGGTTGGTTGTTTTTTGCTTGTTTTTGTTTTCATTTTTTGTCCTGGGGGTTGAACCAGGGCCTACTCACTAAGTTACATCCCCAGTATTAAATTACCATATTGCCCAGGCTGGACTGGAACTTGCAAGTCCTTTCTGCCTCAGCCTCCCAGAGTGCTGGGATTACAGATGCATTATTAGGTAATTATTTTTAGTTCCAATTTATTTTTTTCTT